GTTCTCGTCATTAGAGAAGAGAGTAAGTTAGGAAGAGATGTTTATAGGAAGCCAACATATGTTGGCTCTCCTTAACTTGTTACCTTGAGACCTTTGCGAAAATGAGTTCCAGCTCAGATGATGTTCATGATATAATACACGAAAGGTCAGGCCGTTTTCTCGCGATAAGCGGGACGGCGCCAACCTAAACGCCGTATTAAAGCCAAACGGCTGCAGAAGAACAAGAATCATCCATTGTCTTCTGATGAGATCGACTATCGAAAGTTTTCTTCATGCACTTTCCTACGAAATAAAGTCGGCCCAACGATGTGATTCTTTTAAAACATCATCAAGCTAGCAAGTCAAGATAACTCACGGGATGATTTCCAAATGATGTGCATGTGTATGCCTTGTGTGTTTGTGACACACCAGTGATAGCGTAGCATCCGTTCTCGGGCATAGTTTAACCATGGATCAAATCGCGTAATGTCGGCTGTTCGTGTGGTTAAGTTGACGATGAACCAAGCTCGTAATTAGGACGTATATAAACAAAATATGACTCAGCATCAAGATCTACGCCTGTGAGCATTAAGCTGCTGATAATCAAGCTCCTAACTTTCCCGATATTCAGTCTGTAGTTACCATGTGTGGAAATGCAGGCTCATTCTAGTATGTGATTTTATTCGAAATATTACCTCGAGTGTCGCCTTTAAGCAAATAACCTCGACATCCAGGAAAGATACATTGTCGTCCTCCTCCACCTCCGTTGTCAATTTAATTGGTGTCAAATTGGTTTACAAAATTCAGGAATCCTTCCCTACCAAACGAAAAATTAGGTTGCAGCGGTGACTTGTCTCAGTTATTTTCTAATTGGTACAAGTATGCATTTGACAAAAGAGATGATAGAGGATAGTCATAGATAGTCAACATATTTGCTCGTGTGGTTGTTTAGTCTTGTTACTGACTCTTGTATCCGTTCCAAGAGCTTGAGCAAGGCCATCTCGCCTAAGACGTTTGCTGAACTCACTTCCATTCCGAGTAAAAGAGTTTATTCAGTTTTCTTTATCGTTTAGTCACCTCTCTCTTTCTCTCTAACATGAGGCCAAAGAGCTCATCAACAAAGCCAGGCGTCTGTTCGAGTTTGCGCAATCGGAATGATGGTGAAAATAAATATAAAGAGAGTGATGGCCATCATCAAACCTTGATGGTGGAGAAAAGACGTTACTTGTACATATACGAGCACATGAAAATCCATAAAAACACACACACACACACATGCTTCGAGGTTGTCATACTGATGTACTAACCGAAGTACTTTATACCATCATTTAAAGATGGGCCGGTAAGAATGATACTCTGCTCTGATGATGTCTTCCATACGAAGAACGAAAGCTGAGAATGATTTCATCGGAAACAAAGGAGATTGCCTCGTAAACAACGTCAACAAGAATGCTTCACTCGTCAGCCAATCGGCAGTGGTCAAGGGGATGAATCCACCGTCTTCTGAGTGGATCTACACATGAATATCTTCATCAAATACTTTCACTCAAAATGGATGTGAGCTCTACAAAAAAACAAAGTCCCTGAGACAATCTGTTTCGACTACAATAATCGTCAGAGCAGGGTATACATCATAAAATTAGAATAAGAAAATTCGCCCACATGTTGTGTATGTATGGAGAGGTATGAAGTGGTTTGGTGAATTTTGCAAAAAAGCGGATGGCCCGCCAGACCCACTTGTATATGGCCTCTCGAGTCTTGGCCATGAGTCCCTCCGGACTGATGGCCGAGTTGACCAACGGCATCGACGTCTGTGATGGTGCCGTGGCTGGCGCTGGTACCGGCGTTGACGTCGGTGTCGATGCTGGCGTCGGTGTTGGAGTTGGTGTCGGTGTCGACGTTTGCGCTGGCGTGGCAACTGCTGTGGTGATGCTGGAGGAGGAGGAAGAGGAAGAGGAGGAGGATGAGGAGGAGGAGGAGGATGAGGAAGAGGAGGCTGCGGCAGCAACAGCGACGGCGGCTGCGGCAGCGACGAGTGAATGGACGGCCGGAGTAGCTGTGACCGCGGCGGTGTACGTCGGTGGAGGAGTTGGCGAGGCGAGGCGATGGCCTCTCTGCGGCGTCTGTTGTTGGGCGCAAGCGGACAAGTGTTGGTTGGCCGATTTGCTAGTCGACGTAGCAGAAGACACCTTGCTCGGCTTGCCCGTGAGTGCGGCGACCTGGTGGGCCAGGTATCCGGACGTCGAGGACGTCGAGGGTGGTATCAGGCCGGGCGAAGTGGACGACGCAGA